TCGCCGACGCTGACAAGATGTCGTCGGCGCGCTCGCTCGGGGGGAACGCCGCGGAGTGCCGTCGCTGCATAACGTAGTGGGTTCGGCCGCCTGTTCGCGATCGCCGATGCGTCGTTGTCGGTGGCGGCGGCGAAAGCGGAACCTGATTGGCATTGACCTCGGAAGATCTTGGGCACTGACAAGACAAAATTGGGACCTTTATCCTCAGCGGGATTCCGCCGTGAGCTCTTTCGGGGGCCAGGGTGCTTTCTCCGCGCAATATTGGCCTACGGTTTCCTAAAATGCGGTCGCATTGTCTCGTTGAACACCAACATGAATAATGGCGCCGAATAAACGGGAACCAAAAGGAAGCCTCGGCCCATCTTTCTATCTCAACATTACCGACTCTGGTTGGTGACAGAGGCGGGTAAAGTTTAATCAATGTTGCAGCTTTTCTTTTTTTTTTTATCTGCTTGGAATTCTTTAGAGCTGCGCTTACAAAGCTAATGCAGTCGATCAAGGACAATCTGCGTACACTGTTGGAGGACGCGGCAGCTACCACGGCCTCGAGTGCAGTAAGAAGAAAGATTGAGTACGTTCTTAATGTCGCATTGACGTCAACGTCACGTGCGTTGCCCTTTAAGTTACGACGAGTCGCAAATTTCAACTCTAGCGTGCTGAAATAAAATACTTGAATATACCCTTACCTAGAGATTGTGACTGGAGTGTGAAACGAGGGTGAGTGAAAGGCCGAGAGGTTAGCCTGAGTATATGACTCTAGCAGACTGCTCGACACTGGGGAAAAGGGGGTAGGGAGAGAAAGAGTGATATGGATAAAATGAGATGAGGGAGGTGATAGAGATGATGATGAGTTGATCAATTCGGAAGGGAAATGAAGAGGTGATCAATGGTTTGTTTCCTTACACCTTAGAGCGTCAAACCAGACATGCTCGTAGTAGTGGAGCAAATCTACCGAGTAACTGAATGAGTGTATTGGTGAAGGGGGATAAAAGATGTGATAGAAAACTATCACATCAGTGTTTCCGTCGTTCTCGATGTCGACGGTTGTGAAGGGTGTGACACTTCCGTCGTTCGGTGAATGGTGTGATGGTCAGTTTGGTTTCCATGGCGTGGCTGTTTGTTCTTCTTTGAAGAACCATCTGTGCTAGGTGTCGGTACTTGGTTTAGTAGCGCTGAGAAGGTTTCCAAGTCTTCTATGACTGGTGGAGAATTCTGTTCGTCAGGATTGTGGGTAGGGTCTTTCTTTTCCGAAAATATCGTTTCTCAGTTCTTTCTTTATTTCAAGAAATTCTCGATGGTTCCTTGATTCCGACTCTATCTGTAAGCTAGTCAGTATATTTTAACTTCGAAAGTTGACTACTGGTTTTTTGTCTTTCAATTGTGGGTATTGTCAGGAGGTGGATAGGTGCTCTTTCCCACAGTGAATACATCTGATTTCGTTTGGACAAGTATCTTTGTCGGGTTGTTGTCCGCCGCTTGAGCAGGGGTTGGGGACGCGACATGCAGCAGCAACACGTCCGAGACGTCCGCAATGCTGGCACTGGGTGGGTTTGTCAAAACGCATATACACTTTATGGCGCACACATCAGGGTTTCACGGCATCTGGCATGATCCTGATGCCAATGTGACTGCACCAGAGTTTGCTGAGCCCATTCTGCGAACGCGTAGCACGGCAAGTGATAACACAATCTTCCGCAGAAGGTCGGCTTCAGTGATATTGTTTGCCAGAACATGAATCACGCCGACAGCCATGTTAATTTATGAGGTTTGTATGGTGTTGTTTTAATACCACAAACGGATGTCATCCGAAGAAGCGTTGCCGCCGTTTTAACACCTCAAAGAGATGTCATACGAAGAAGCGTTGCCGTTGTTTCGACATTTCTCATGTCCACTGCAAGAATATTAAGTATTTCATTTGGGCGGACGCTGATGATGCCGTCAAAGTTTTTGGCCTCGAGTACCCATAAGAGCTTGATCGCATTAAATTGTCTGATCTTTTGGTCGGTTTGCCTTGCTCCATACCCGACCTGGAGGAATAACACGGAGCCAACGATTTTCACAGCAAAAAACTACATTCAATTGGACATGGACGAGACGATGAAGATAAAGAATACTAACACGAAATCAAAGAGCGCCGGCGGCGCTTGAGTCCAGCCAGCGACTGCCTGCGCCTCTTATCAAGGCGGCGCGCGCGATGTGCGCGTGGCCGGCTTGATTCCGCCGCCACGCGGGAAAGTTCGCCACCTGTGCCCCGCAGTCGGGCAACTGGGCTGAAAAGCCGCCAGGGTGCCCACAATCATAAATCAGGGATCTGCAGGCACAAAGATCACAGTGAGCCCGTATGCGAAGCGCTTCACCAGTAGTATATCGGCACTTCATGAAGCGTCAGGAGTCTCGTACTTGCGTTTTTTACCCTTGTAGGTGAGGAAAGGATCTTCTTTGTTATTGACGCTCGTTGAAGTAAAAGCTTCATGATCGTATGTTTCTGTTGTACGGGATCCGCTAGTGCGACTAAATTAGCTCCGCTTCAGGGTAACGACACGTGGCCATATTGTGGCTTAATATCATGGTGGCCAGTTATCTGAAGCTTTATCGGCAATTACAGGAAACGCTTTTCCGTCCTCTTGAAATGATTAAAACAGTTAGCGTTAAAGCAAAGCAATATTACACGAGCTTCCTAACACCGAATCTAATGCTGAAGAAGTCGCACTTTTGAATTATGACGATCGGCAGTTGCGTCTGCTCTACACAAGCACCAAAATGGCGGCGCTTACAACAATGTCGGGGAACAGAGTGCCGATACTCTAAGCTCAGCTCATTTAGTCGCTCTAGGATACGCATTCGGACATCAGCGCTTCAATGGGATGTGGCACCCCGGCTTCTGTTACCATTGGTTGGCATGGAAGTGGAAGAGGCGCTGTTGCAGAAGATTGTGGTAGCAACCAAACTTGCCTTTGAACGTTGTAGTGCATGATCCTTATCTTGAGTGTTTTCTTGAGAGACGTTGCCCTCGGAAGACAGACCAGATGTTTCCATGGCGTTCATCGGGCAAGGTTAGTTTCGACGAAGTGTCTAAAGGCCGCCCATCAAAGAAGGCCCCCCGAAAATCGTCGAGGGTGGAGCAACAAAATTATCGTGCCTTCTTACGAGCAGAACGATCAGCTGGTGGACCTCTACGATGAATATACAAAAGAAGTTCTTCTATTTCAAAATTAAGTCAATATATTTTAGGATATACTTCTTGGTGCGAAAGTAACATTTGCTTCGTCTTCCTTTTTCATTGCGATTGGAGGGTATTTTTAAGCTCATTGTCTCCGCCATGTTCGTCGTTTAACTATTTGCTGTCAAATGTAGAGCTTGCTAAATTCGTCTGCGGAGATATAAAGTGTCGAAACCGCTAAATCGGACGGCAAACGCTGCCATTTTTTCAACCGTCACATCGTCGGAGTGAACGACGAAGCCGAGGAGGAAATAGACCATTTGCTGCATCATCCAAGCGCCCCGGCCTACACTCGAGGATTCATGGGAACGATCGTTCTTCAACCCCTTAGTGCTGGGTAATTTAGACCGTTTCGGTGCTTACATGCTTTTGAGTGTAATCCGGAGTCACCCTGTAGAAGCGTCGTGTAGAGCCCAAAGACCTGACAAATCACTTTTAAAATTTCTCGTCAACGTCAGCGTGTTTAATACTGTACATACTATCCACAATTCTGCCTGGCAGAGCTGCAGAAATTTTTTACAATGATATCATTCTCGTTATAGTTGTTTTCACAGAAATCGCTTAAAAAGCCGAGAATTCGCAACCAAAACCAGGATTTAGCTTCGAATCAGTGCGGCTGTTTATAGCATTTTTAGTGTTTCTAAGTAAATATGAATGTCTTTGAAGTTGTGCGAGAATTATAATATTGCAAGAGATTTCTGCAGCTCATCCAGGTAGAAGTGTGGATAGCATGCGCAATATAAAAAACGGTGACATTGCGAAAATTTTTAAAAGTGATGTGACTGGTCTTCGGACTCTACAGGACGCCTCTTCAGGGTGAATCCGGGTTACACTCAAAAGCGTGGAAGCATCGAATTGGTCGAAATTACCGATCCCTTGGGAAGTGAAGGACCACCGTTCCCATGATTCCTCTAGTGCGGGCTGGTGCACTTGGGGGATTTAGGAAGTCGTCTATTGCGCCTGCTGTCGACGTCGCACTCATCCCTGTAAGGATTTCTCCATTTGCAAGAATGCCGCTTAACTCTCGTGTTAACTGTTGGAGCGTCTTCGCAGGATGTTTGGGCCTCCGTAATCTTAAACATCAAACCAATAAAAAAGTTTATGAAAACAAAGATAAGACAGAAAACAAAAATATTTTCTTGCAGCTCGCAACCACATTATGGTGTAACATATGTTGAATCTTATGCATATTCTTCTTCTTCTTTTTTTTTCTAAATACGCAAAGGAAAATTGTTGTGCAAAGTCACAAACCGGGGGGGGGGGGGGGGGGGGGGGGGGGTCCAAGCGTGAACCGAATAATGCTACTTTAGTGTACCGGTGAATATTTTCTGATAAAACGAGAACGGTCTGCCAGAATAAACATTACAATTATACAATTTGTGTGGTATAATTTCTTAATTTAAAAAGTTAATCTACACAAATGTGTTGTTAAAAAAAAAATAAAACAGTTTTCAGAATGCCTCACAGTAGCCACCGAAGTTTCGCTATTTAGATTCCTAAAAGCACTGAAAAAGTCATCGGTTTCAGCAAATCATGATCCGCCACTCCGAGGAATCCGGTTCCTTTTTAAGATCGCTCTACAGAAACGTAGGGGGGGGGATCGTATTATGGCTCCGCAATCAATGCGTTCACGGCATTTGCCAATAAATATGTCGGTAATGACAGATCACGAAGCAGGAGGTGTGAACATAATCATTAACCTCCCAGTGCCATTATTAATCAGCCCGCTTCATCCACCGCCGTGAGCTGTGCCAACCTGGTCGCTTTGTCTTTTCTTCAGGCGGCTTTTCGCCATTCCTGTCAAGAAGACTGTGGACGTGCCTGCTGAGTGTCCCCTCCATCGAAGCCATGACAAAGCGATGCCCCGTGGAAGGGCAGCCCTAATGAAGTCTCATCTTGAGGGGCAACCGCTTGGTGAGTGTGTCTGCGTCTTGGCGAAAAAAAATTCAAAAAGGTGAACGACGGCTGAAATGAACAGCGTCGTTTCCCTGGGAGATTGGGGCATCATGTTTTAGGAGCCGGTAAGATCACGATATATGTGAAAAGACAGCTTCCAAGACGTTACACAACAGTATGTGAAAACTATACTTTATGTAAAAATTTTACAGGTACTTCTCGCGAGGCCTTGGCTTCAGAAATTACTCATGTGAGCACAAAGTGCTGTAATTGCGATAGTGAGGCTTTAAACTCACCTCATAAAACACTTCAAGGCGAGCTCGATTCAAAACATATGAAACCATATATTGGAGGTGGTCGCAGGTCATCCATCGACTTTTATAGCTTACGAGCAGAAGACCGCAAACATACGAGCCTATGTTTCAGAATAAAACAAATAACCGAAGCAGGTTTGCGAGGGTCTTGCGTGCACATTTAAACTTTCCGTAGCGATTGTGCGTTTTTTTTTTCTTTTATTGTTATAGTTTTCTATCGCAAAGTTCAGTTCAGTGATACAAAATAACAAAGTCAAAATTAAAAAAAAAAAGCCGGGTGGTTTGTCGCCGACGCGCGCTTTCCTACAATATCTCTGGCACTCCGTTTGATGGCGTAAGTGGATATAAGACGACACTGAAAGCCTAAGAAAAACAGAGCGCGGCAATTGTTCACGCTCCCAAATGCTCCATGATTCGGTCTTCGACGTTCTTTATCAACGAATGACGCGTTCTCATTGGCTGTGTCGCGTTGATAATATGGTCTCTACATCCTACGCCTTGCGTTTCTTGAGTGTGTCAGTAACTACAGAACAACTTACCTAGCTGAAGAACACAGCTGGCGATCTTGCGGCAACGAGGAAAGCAAAAAACACACAAGAAAACTGTGCCTTCTCGAGTTGTGGGCTTTTTAAAATAACAACTCAGAAGTCCAAAACTTCACGAAACGAAATTTTGAGGTATCATGTGCCACCGTTGCAGAAAACTGATTTCTTCCATCCTGAGTTACGTTGAGAACGTCCGCCGACGAGTCGGAACATTAGACAAAACTCCGGTCAAAGATTGTTTGCGACGGAAGACTCATCTGACGTTTATTAAAATTTACTTTTTCTTGACCAAACAGTTCTATCGTTTTCCGGAGGGCTCCCGAACTGAAGAACAAGAAGCTCTTCAATTCGGATGGAACTTGCACGCTTTTTGAAGAAGAATGCTTGGAATGCGTAAATGATAGAGCTCATGTCCGTTTGCCGTAGAGGGCCTCAGTGATGCTTGCTGACTGCGTCTCGCTAGACTGGCGACATTTTTTGCGGAAGGCAAGTTCCGCCTTTTCCTGGCCTTGGCCACCACTTCATTTTCCGCCATGCGCTGACCTTATATTCGTGGGACCGGTGGATAGGCTTCTGCCCATGAAAAAGCCGAATTAGGAGGCACTTGATGAGGTCGTGATAAATAATTCCAAGTAGAGGTTTTCTCGACCCCGTAATTCAATGAAGCGTCCCAAATGCAGTTGTCTATACAATATTACTGCCTTATCAATAGAGGCGGCACCGAAAACAAACGTATACTTGACGGAAAGCGTTACGTCACGTGTTATGAAAGTTATTCCGCGTCGTTTCACAGCTGATTATGCTAAGTAACGCTTAAACAGCTCATAGACGGCTACATATGAGTGGGAGGCCAGATGGTGACTCCGCTAACAAACGACGAAGTAGTCCCCACTCTGAGAGAGCTGCCAGCTCAGCAACATTGAGGTACTCTATAGTTGTTTAGTTAGTTAGTTAGTTGGCGGTACCTAACCCCTTTTGAGACAGGGGGGTCAGCAAAAGTTCAAATTGCCGACACAGGTAAAAGTTTTAGTTCTTGTTTTGTTTTAGCTTTTCCCACTTTTGGGACACTTTCACTGGTTGGTGATCAGACGCAGTCTCTCCCATTCAACGAGAATGCGCTTGGTTGCTAGTGAACCGTGGGCTCCTTCCCCGAATCCCAGCATTTCGGGAATCCTCTCTTCGCTCGTCGCCCAGGGTGGTCGACAGTGTTCTAGGGCAGGGCACCACAGCAGCACGTGGAGGACGTCCTCGCTTGACTGCCCGCACAAATGACAGGCTGTGTCGGTGTCTCCGAAGAGTTGGGCACGTCGGCAGCCTGTCATCAGCGCTCCTACCCATGCCTGAAACAGTAGCGCACTTTCATGGTCCCCTCGATAGTGTGTGCAGGGAGACGGCTCAGACTTGTGGAGCGCGTAGATGCCCTGGAGGCTCTGCTTTTTCCTCACCGCTTGTCTCCAGGCCTCAAGTTCAATCGCGTTCACCTCCTCTGTCACAGCCTTGAGCCATCTTTTCTCCGATGTGGCCTCATGTCGCCTTGTCCCTTTGCTGTACACAGAGTCGAGCCTGGCGATGGTGTTTGACCAGTTCGTCCTGCTGCTGCGGTATCTAACGTAGTGGAATGTCCTTTTGGCGTACGCTTCGTCTGGCATGTGGATCAGGCGCCCGAGGTATCCGAGCTTGGCCCTTGCATCCCGTTGCTTGAAAGTCGACCAGGCCATCTCTCCCGTGACGGCCAGGTTTGCAGTTGCCCCGTTTCCGCCCAGTGCCCACCTCCCGATTTCCACTTGATGGCGATCCAGTGTCTTCAGGGTGGTCTGTTGGAAGACCACTGCGTCGTTAACATAGATGACCGCCGGCACTGCGACACTCTTCCACAGTGCCGTCGCAAGGGTGTATGGGTTATAGGAATACTTTGCCATGTTCCACAGGTGACCTTTTCGGATGTTGGAGGTTTTTAGGGTGTTCCTCTCGTGTAGTTCCAAGTACAGCGGGCCTTCTTGAAGAGTCACTCCCAGATACCTGTATTCCTTGGTATGTTCTACTTCCACCTCCTGTACTCTAAACGTGTGGTTAGGCTCGTGAACATTATAGGGCCATTCCGGAAATTCGCGTCGCCCCCACAGTCTTCTTCGCGAATTACGGCAGTGCGATGCGCGGCGCCGTCAAGGAGTTTCTATGTATAGAATGTGTTCGTGTTTGCGTGCAGCATTTTGCGATTTTCGAACGTGAAGATATAGCGTGTGCATCGGCTTTCTTATGTTTTCGTCAATCTATTATCTTTGAGGAGGAATCGTGCCGCTTCCAGGGTGTGCGGATCGCAGACGAGTTGGCCCGAGCGTACGTCGCAACGGCCCTACAATTCTCCACGCCACGCGGCACAAGCTGGCATAAAAGAGGAACCTTGTGGATGTCTCGACAAAGAGCATCCTTCGATGCACTGATCGGGCATGAAGCCCAGCCGCGGACACAGCGTTCTTGTCGAATTTGTGCCTACGGTGGATTTCTCTGGAAGATACAGGGGTTCGGCTCACTCATGGTCCGAACCCCTGAAATGCCACAGGGACGGTTGAAAAACATCCAAGTTCAGCGCCCATTTTCACGCATGATGGCTCGAAGCTCTGGTACACCGATGTGGCCATCAGCCAATGTAGGCTCTTTTTATGGAGGCACTCATAATGGTCGCGAAAGAACAGTTTGAAGGGGTAACTTGTCTGCTCAATGATCGAAGGTCCGGCATAAAGATCTCGGCCTCAGCTAACCCAGTCGTGATCACACCATTTCATGAAACACCTGTACTGACAATAACGCAAAGAACGTCCTTTCTTTCCGGGTAACATTAAGTGCCCCCCAATGCGTATCCTTTCACTCATTGCACCAATGTTAACATTCTGATTTGTTAGGTCATGCTCACAGGGCGTGTCGTCCAAATCAGATTAGAGCTGTTGTTGTTGCTGCTCTTAGTGTTCGCTTTCTTGAGGGGAATACGGGGGAGTTATATACAGAGTGAAATGTCCTGTACATTATACTATATACAGAATAACCCGAATAAATTGTGCCAGCTGGTCTAAAAGGTTATTAGGAATTATGCAGGTATTAAGTAAAACAAATAAAACAGAAGGTGAATTAAGCACAATAAAGCAAAATAGCCGAGTCGTTTAATGGTCAGTAGGACCATCGGTTCAATCAGTAGTGGGACCCTCCGATCCAGAAGAAGTCAAACCTGCATCCGATGTACTCCTACGATTCTGCGACGGAAGGCCAGTTAGAGATAATACCCGCCCGGACGTGGTCGGGCAAATATTTTCTCTCTTCCACCATTCGAGGAATACGCGCCAAAAAAAAAAAAAGAAATGGGGCAGAATAATCGATTTTAATGGTGTTATAAACTACCTCTCACCTAGGAGTGGCAGATTGAAGCGGGACAAACTTGCGCTATATTTGGACTTTTTTTTTTGTCATTCTTTTACACAAAGCTTAACTCCGTTTCGTTTATTTAATCTTTTTTGCTGTGAAAGACTCGTTAGTTTTACTGGCACCCCGCGCTCGTCGTTACTTTTCACTTCCTTGAGCAATCTTTGTGTATCTTAGAAAGTCTATCGAGGGTGATGTTTTTTTTTTCGTTCTCCGTTGCATTAACATCGTAGTGTGTGTGTGTTTTTTTTTTGTGTGTATTTTCGTTTCCATGTCGCATCTTCCATTATAGCCTTTGTACTCTCATTTTGGACAACGCGGAAGCATGCATCATTAATCGGTCCCTCTGAAGCAAAGATTGCCGGAGTAGTGCGGGAAAATATTTTAACGCCAGGGGCTTCGATCCTCTTAGGCCGCTACACCGAGAAGAAACAAAAAGGTCGCTTTCCATTTCTTTTTTTTTCTTTTAATGGTAAGTGTGATTTATGTCTTCTTTTTTTTTTTTTTTTTTTTGCATACTTTTTCTGTCCTGTAGATTCAATCATGAACAGGATTAACTTAACATACTCCTCTTTTGAAGACAGCACGTACGCAGTCGTTTCGGTAGGGACGGGGATTTAATGCGGTCCCCGGAGTTCGCGAAGTTATTAAAGACGAGCCGTCTTTCCAAGAACGTCTTTCCATTAACTACGAAGGATGATACGTGTTGCGAAAGTTTCTTCGCTAGGCGTGCGGACACTGAAATATGCAACGGTCGAGAATCACTGGTCAAGAAACATTGTTCTCAGATGTCAGATGTGGCCCCGGCCTCAAGTCTCAACCCTGTCTTCCAGTGGGCCCGGTGTTGGGGTAACGCCCACTAAGTTTGGCCAGAGGAAAACTGGCGACTCCCTCGACGGGGAGCAGGAGTCGGCAGGGGAGGGGAATGTTTTAGTTCCTTTTGCCGGAACGCACAAAGGTCATCTTGGCAACATCCCACACTGCCTGGGGATAGTTACAGAAATGCAGAGGTGAATGGAATTGGCTCCGAAGGGCGCGGGGTAGGAATCATATTTCTGGTCTCTAGGCAAGGTGACGCAAGCTACCCCCCCGTTACAAGGGTACAGCCGTTAGCATTCATCCATCCATCCAGTATGAGTTTTTTTTTTTTTTTTTTTAGTGATATGAAGAACATAATACCTACGCTCGAGTGTCATACCAGGGTTCACCTTACGATGGAGCGCAACGGGCGTAGGAGCCTCCCGCCAGCCAGTCCGGCACTGTGGACGTATCACGTGACTACGTACTACGTGCCCCGCGCATTGCTGGGCCTCTTCCGAAGGTCACGTGACACTCACATGCCATTGATTGACCTGGACGGCTCGAGCCATCGTCTGCGGTTCATCGTAAGGTGAAACGAACTAGAGTAACCATAAAACTTATAAAAACTTATTTTCTCCCGATAATAAGTGATAAGCCGCAGTCGCGCTGATAGTATCATATTACATCATACAGAAGACAAGATGTTCGCTGCGGACAGGATGGCAGGGTAATATCTGCGGACACGACTCAAGCATGTTCGAAGCCCGTTTTCTTTCATACGTGCTTCGAAGATCTCCGCAGACAGTTCCTGTTTGACCAATGTGACCGTGATATGCAAGGAACAAGCCAGTGTTGAACCCCCCCCCCCCCCCCCCCCCCTTTTCGTCGACCTCTTGCGTCAAGCACGCTTGGGAGGTTTGTCCATTCTCACTTGAGTCGTGAGGACGCGTCAAGGTGACTTTGGGCGTGCTCTGGACGAAATAAACTCGACAAATGCAGTTTTAAATTGCAACAAGTCGCAGCGTTGCCCCCCGAAACAAATAAAAAAAGGTACGCGCGCGCCACCTATCGTTAGCATGAATTACTGATACACGGCCGCCGTTCGCTGCCAGCCGTGAAGCTCCCACCTCCCCTTCTAGCCACCATAGCGCCGCCGACCGCGCTCCATGTCGACGCGGTACGTTATCGGCACTCCGCCAAAAGATTCACCATTGACGTCACGCTGCTTCACACGTCTCTGACGTCACGCCGCGCATCATGTCACCTGTTACCTGGCTCCAGCTTACAGCAATGTTGTCATGTCAAGTCACGCCACACAGTGACGCTACGCGGCTTCATGACGTCAGGTGACACCATGAGTCATGTGATGACATGACGTCATGCGACACTGTCATGTTAGGGGCAGTCATACGCCATGTTGCAATGCGTCGTCACGGAACACCCCATGACGGCACGTGGAAACATCAACATGAAACTGCTGAGAACAAAACAAAGCGTTTTCGCTACTTATGCCAGACAGGTTCTCGGACGCTAAAACCAACAAAGCTTGGTGGGTGATAAGCCGGGGAAACCACAGACGTGAAATTAGGTGAAGCTACACGCTTAAAACTTCAGTGCGCGATTTTGGAACTTCAGTGACCACAAGGTGGTGTTACTTTGTGTCCAATAACATTGCATAAGACGTTCAGGCATCCACACCAACGACAACAGGGAATGGCTCACGCACACAGATGCAGTTTCGTCGTTTCCTGGATTTCAAACTTGTGCGCGCGATTTCCGAAGTTTTCTAGTTTGAGACCAACAAAAACGTTTAACAGGTTCGCGAAATGCTCTCTACTTAAAACACCCTCATTGATTACAAACCGCTGTGGAATTTGTTCCCGGTGCGTTAGTCGGTTTAATATCAAACGGCCTATGCGGACTCTATGGTGTGCACTCGCACCATTCAGTCTATCTGCTCCATCTGCTCCGAAACGACACTCTAGCCGCTCCGACAACACACCTCAGCTGTCGCTTTGTTTCACCTCAGAAGATGCGCAAGTGTTTATCATTTATTTTTTATAATTTATATTGCAATCAAGAGGCTGTCATTAAAACTGTTAGTGTGTCGAGCACTAAACGGCAAAGTTTAGTGCCCGTCCGTACGCTCTCGAGGTAAATTGCGAACAAGAGCTGCGGCGTCGTGTTCAGGCTAGCAGTGTCGAGCAGTGTATACGAAAGTCGTCTGGGTGAAGCACACTTTGCGCACCTCTGCACGTTCATCAGCTATAAAAGTAACACTGCCGACGACGTCTAGAAACAGTGTACTGCATTGCGGTCGTTGGCGTGTTCTCCTGTCGTCTGTCGGAGGGCGCCGACACAGAACGGCTTTTCCGCAGTCCTCGGAATCGTCTCCAGGCACGCACGCAGACGTCGAAAAAGCGTCGGAACTGCGTTGGGGAACACCGCCATCCGATAATGAAGACGGCGCCGCTATTCCAGCGCACTTTGATGAAGTCCCGCAAACACTGCCTACTAAAAAAAAAAAAAAGTTAAGGAGGGCGGGAAAAGAATAAAACATTTCAACCTGGAAGAAATAAAGTTACCGGTAATTTCGAGATAAAAAAATAACCCTGTTTTTCTGGATCGCGTAGATAAACTACGCATCGCTTGAAGCTAAAATTTCGTGAGAATGGGAAGCCAACGGTGGGATTAAACGTGAAAGTTTGAAAACATGACATTCCCTGGGTTCCTGTAGAAAAGAGAAAGACCAAATTTCTCTCATGAACCGACGTCCATCAAGCCTAATATCGTCGAAACAAGAACTGACGTTGTGGACGCATGTGGACTTTATAAAAAAAAAAAAAAGAAACACTCGGCAGAATATAGGATAATATTGTTTTCTTCCTTG